GTCTGCAGATGCAAAACCAGGGAGTGCTGAAGACGACGATGCAGCTGTTCAAGAGCAAATTCCAAGCGCTTCCGAAAACACCCCCGTCTTCTGGGCATCGTTGCATGAAACAATTTACCTTCAGTGTAGGCAACCAATCCGTCTGCGCCATGTATTGCGAACGGAGAGTGCTCAAAGCATTATCCTAAGAAGTATCGCGAAACAATTGCCGATGTAGAGGGTCATCCTGAATACAGAAGACCCGCGTACCATAAAGGAATCTATGATAATAAGCACGTTGTGCCTTGTGCCTTACGATCGCTATCTCCTGTTCCTCCTCAATGCCACATAAATTTAGAAAGATGCGGTTACTTACAGGCTGTGAAGTACCTTATACAAGTACGTGTATAAGAGGCCAGATCGAGCTTCAATGCGACTGCATCATATTTTCTCGTGGGCGCCCATTTGAATCTGACACTTTTATCGTTTGGCAGTCCATCAGCCTCATTTCCAACGGTGGCGTTCCAGTCAGGGGAACAACGCAAGGCAGCCAGAGATTCAACACGAAATGTCGGGGCGGAGTTTCGTCGTACACCAATCCGTTACCCGCCTCGTAGGCTCTTATAAATTCCTGTCGCCACGACGAGCGCCTCACTCTTGCAGCTCCACGTTGGAAGAAGTTCAACATCACCGACTGTTTTCTCGCCCACAGATGCAGCAGAAGAATGCGAACCCGACAAGTTCTATGAGGAGCTGAAAGACGCCATTCGCAAGGAGAACTCGTTTTACAAGTTTATCGTTGGCGAGGATAAGACAGTCACAACACCAACAAGGCGACAGAGGTGGAAAATCTGGACTGCGAATTCGAAACGAGAATGGAGACAGACTCGTCGTAATGGAAACGGCCCGTTTATCCCGTGGAAATTCGTTTAACCACAAAAAAAAACACCGCCGTTGGACGTAGGGTCACCAAATGGAACGGCACGTGTAGAGAACATGTACTTGTCAACAAGAAATGGACTTGATGTCGGAATGGTTCCGTGGTTTTGTACAGGTTTCTGACAACCGTCTTCGTGCAAAGATCCACCTCAGTCGGAGAATGGAAAGGAAATCTTACCATCGCGCGAAGCCTAGAAAGCCGGAACGCCGTATACGACAAACGCGTTCTCGAGAACGCCTCCAGATATGACTGGAAAGAAAGCGAAGACGAACCAGAAGATCTAAAAAGCTGATTGAAGGACCTCGCAGTTGTGCAGATCAGGCAGTTCTTGTGGAAAGGGGCTCGGGACGTTTGACAAACGACACCAAGAAGCTTCTTCAGAAAAGGAGAAATCTGCAAGCATATCCAAGTGCATCGGATCTAGAAACAAGCAAAGCAAAAAAAATATTGAGAGCATATTTCTACGTAGTTCACTTTTATGAATTCGCCGTCGCCTACTGAAAGCATCTGAATGCCATTACTGACATTGATACTCTACGACTTAGCACTTTCTACGATTTTGGAGGGCAAAGCTTCATGATGACTTCGGATAATTGAAGAGCTCTAGCCCAACGGCTCCCTTCAGGATCACAAATATGATTACAGCGGCATAAATATTTGAAAAATACGTGTCAGTAAAATGGTGTACTTGTAAGTAAAACCCAGCTAGACTTTACGTATTTTATTAATTAAATTTTGTTAAAGCGTCAGCGAATAAAGTAGGTCGATCCAAAAAATAATCACCAGAACCATAATTTCGAATAATAAAGTAGCGAAAAATCATGCGAAATTTGCACTGTTATAAATCTGGTGGTTGAAGATGTCAGCTATCGTGACTTCACAAAGTTTGAAGGGTGGGTGTTGTTCTACCAGAAAGTTGAGGAATCAAGTCGATTTGAGCAGTAACCGCCGAGAACGATTATCTTGAAAAATTAAGCACTTTTAGGTTGCTTAAACAGCAGGCGTTTACTCCTATAAATCTGGAATGTGAAGGTGTGCGATGTTGCGACTTCATAGGTTTTGTAGAGTAATGTTTGTGCTATCAGAATATTTCTTAGCCGCACCGATCCACTAAAATGGCGCCGAGATCCAGGCTCTTGAAGAGACAGTTAAAAAACCGCTTTTTAGACTTCAACAGCTCATAACTTCTTAAGAACTGCATGAATTATGTTGCGACTTCATAGGTTGCATTCTCCTCTTCAAGGGCCTTCAGATGACATAGAACATGTGGGAGGTTCAGGTTCAATATTTTTGCGACTCTAACCCGGGGCGGAGACTTTTCATCGCAAAGTCTCCATCTCGCCCATGTTAATGTATTGGCTGGAGGCCGCCAACGGAGAATTTATGATGAAAGCCTCCACCCTCGGGCATATGCCGTGAAAGACAATCTGAAAGCTCTTGACGACGAGAATACAAGCTATGAAGTCTTGACATGATTCATGCAATTTTTGAGAAGTTATGAGCTATTGAATTTCAAAAGGCCCTTTTTTACCTTTTCAGGACCCTGCGGCGCTGTTTTATTGGATCGGTATATCGGCTAAGATGTATTCAGATAAAGCAACTTTACTTTACAAAACTCATAAAGTACATAGCTACATCGCACACCTTCACCAGATTTATAGGAGTCTAAACATCTGTTATCACTAAGTAACCTAAAATCGCCTAATTTTTCAAAATTCTCATTCTCCGCGGCCACTGCTCAAATCGACCTGTTTCCTTCAATATCTGGTAGGAAAACAGTTGCCCTTTAAAACCCATGAAGTCGCAGTTGCTGACATCTTCAACCACCGGATTTATAACAGTGGAAGTTTCGCTGATTTCGCTATTTTATTATTCAGAATTCTGTTTTCGGCGTTTACTGCTTGGATCGACCTACTTTCTTCGCATACGTTATAACAGAATTTATTCAATAGAATACTTAAAGTTTGGCTAAGTTTTACTTACAAGGACACCATTTGATAAACCATTTATTTCATTTTCATTTCATTTCATTTCATTTGTACGCTCAAGGCGTTCCATAAAAAAAAGACACATCAAGAAGTTAGTAATACAGCGGAAACGAACAAGACATGTAAAAAATGCAGACATCATCATGTCAATCCGAGTCTGATCCTAATCAGACTAATGTGAGGAGATAAAACAGCTTGCACTAAATATGTTGGTAGGCTAATAGATAAGTATGCAGATGTAGGCATGAGATTTATAACTCCAAAACTTTGGATCCATGGAGATGGGACGCATGCCCCCTCGTTGCCAGCGGAACGATCTTTAGTTACTCTTAAAAGCAATCCGGCGGCTTATAAGGCAGGTCTACTGGCTCAGGTATAATAACCATAACCCAACCTAGCCGGAATGCTGGGGAGGCCCAATGACCCCAAAGGTGAAACGATTCTCATTGAATCCATTTGTTGAAATAGCAAGCTGTACGATTGACTACTAGATAGCTGAACGAAAAAGACTCGGACTGAGATGCTGATAAAACTGTGTTAGTAACTAGAGCAAAACGAGTACACCAAAAATAAAAGTTTGACGCAACGTGAGGAGATACACGAGAGGCGTCAAAGAGATAATTTATTAAGAATTTCAAATATTTATGCTGCTGTACTCATCCTTTTGGTGCCCTAAAAAGGGCAGTCGGGTCACAGTTGTTAGCCCCGAAGAGGACCACGGGTTTGAGCTCTTGAAATTCATCAAGAAGCTTTGTCCTCCGAATCTGTGGAAAGTGCTGAGGCTTAGATGCGTCCATGCCAGGATGGCTTTCGGGTGCTCGCAGTAGGCTACGACAAGTTCCTAAAACTAAAATGAACGAGAAAAAGCTTTTGTTAACCTTTAAATTTGTTTTTCTTATTTTTTCCTTTTATTAGTCAATGGAAAGCTTATGAACAGGGTAAAGCGGGGGTGCGGCACGCCGCAAGAGGGGGGGGGGGTCGTAAGGGGGGGGGTAGGTGGGGGGGGGTCGTATCGACCCAAGGTCAAAAGCGGTTTCTAAGGGGAAATGACTGCAGCTAAGTTCTTAGATGTGCCACGCTGTTGAAATCCTGCAAAATTCAAGTTCAACGACACAAACTTGCAGATACCGTATGCCCACCGTAACCTACCGTACCTTTAATCAAGCATAATTGTCGTAATCTGCGTGTCGAATAACCCCTATGCGCCAAGTTTCAGCGAACTCTGAGCTCTCCGAGCAGTAAACAACCTTGTATAAAGCAGTAATTTAAAACATGATTAACTTCATCTTAACGGTGAGTAAACTACCTCTTCTTGCACTCAATACAAAGCACTACTCCTTCTTTGTCCACCTCAAAAATCCCGCTTCAGAAGACCTCCAAACTATTGAATTAGAAGCCAACCAAAATCGCTTTTAGCTTTTGATCGCTGTGCTTTCACCAAATATTACTCAGAGCTAAGAAGACGAATCAGGCTCAAAACATCCCTATGAGGTTTAGGCTATTGATTCATATAAATATTGTCCGCTAAAAATGTTTTTTTTGATATAGTTAATGGCCTGCGGCCCCCCCCCCCCCTCAAAACCTGCGGCTGCCGCAGGTTTTGAGGGGGGGGGGGTGCCGCAGGCCATTAACTTACCTTCAAATCGTTCAAACAGCTGCCTTTTTCATATCATCCTATAGATTCGTCCTTCCTCTCTCCGTAGTAGCTGTTTCCCTTCGAACCTTTTTCTTTAGAAGGAAATACATATGGTTTTTGCGAACCGTATGCTGGGAAGTGTGGCCAAAAAATATTGGGTTACGGTAGCGCTCGAAAGATTGTCAAAACACACAGAGGCGCGAGATACGCGCCTTTGAATCCCACTCTCGTTATGAGCTGTGATGTTCTCGCTTTTTTCTCTATTTTCTCTCTCTCTTTCATCTCATACTCTCTCTTTCTTTCTCTCGAGTTCGCTTTTCCGCTATTTCGCTTTCGTACTCTTTTCTCGTCGCTTCCGTTGTTTTTCGTGTTCGTTTTTTTCCGTTTTCGTTTCTGTTGCATCCTTTGCATTTTGTCTCTTGAACCGGCTTTTAACTTTTTCATTCCAGATGAAAGGATGAATGGTGAACAGTTACAAGATTTTCTCACCGATTTATCGAAAACTAAAATTCGTCTTGGTAACCGAGACGACGTCGAAGTTACGAAGAAATTCTTGGTCGAATGGGCGCAAAACACTATGCTTTGCGCCAATTATATAACTGTTAACTGTAGGTTTGTCTACGGTCATTATGTCCATGTTTTGCTAAAAGTAATTTTTATTTGATTAAGGGATGTAGATTTGGATTTCAGATTTTGATAAGGTGGCGGTGTCGGACTTCCTTATTCACTTTTTTGTTATTGCCTTTGCTTCACCATAGGGTTTTAACGGCTGTTTGTAAGCTAAGAGGTAAGTTCCTTCACTTTGAACTAGCTTCAACATACGTGTTTTGAAAATCAGAACGGATCAATTTTTGGGAAACAAAGACGCGTGAGATAACTCAGAGTGTGCAAATTTATCGATTAGGGAAACCAATCTACTGAAAGTATCGATTCAAGTGAATGTCTTGTTAGTTTAATCTTGCAGAACTCGAGAAAACACGATGGATTATCCCAGCAAAGTCATCGAATGGAGGATTTGTTCCTTTATCGAGGGGAGGGCTGGAATATAGTCCGTCAAGAGCCTTCAGTGACATTTTGTTATTGCTAAACCTTACTGACAGTGATACCTACAACCTCTATAAGGTGAGTAATCTTATATCATTCGCCTTTTGTGTGATAAGCCTTACTGTGAACCTACGGTTGTACTGTATGCATTTTGTGTGTTTTTGTATAGAATTTGCCAGGGAAACCTTTTAATTTGAAGCTAACTTTTCATACGACACCTATATCGCTTTGTAGAGCATTGAATAGTGATTTTAAATCTTTTCTTTCCCGGGACCTTTCCAAAAAAGTCATGAGTGTTTGAAAGCCTAAATTTGTCAAGCCTCAAGTGGACTGTACAAAAACATGCGGATTGCCACATGTTATGCTCCTTTCTTGTAGTCAGCATTGATACAAATTTGAATACCTAGTTTCAGTGTTTGTATTTTTTGTACAGTTTTTCGCTAATTTTGCGCCACTAGCATGAATTGGACTTTCAAACACTCATGATTTCTTTCGAAAAATTGTTTCGCAGAAAAGGAAAGCAGATTTGGAATGAGCATCCGAGGACGTGTCTAGTGATATAGGTGTCATGTGAAAAGCCCAGTTCAGCTAGAAGCCTTCCCCTGTTGGATCTGATATTTTGACGCTTATCGTATGCCTACCATGATCCTATTTTGTAGTGTATGTTTTTAGGGTGACAACTGCAGTGTCGTCGCAAATGACTACCCCGCCGATAAAAGTATGTTCGGTTTACAAGGAGTCAATCTGTGGAAGAGTCATTACTTGAATTTGTTCAATGATACGGTCGTTGCAGTCGTGACAAAACTGCCACACAGTGTGCAAGCTAAAGTTTTGAGTGGGTTCATTTTACTTATTTTTCGTTTTTTTTTCATTGTTCACTTATTCTAGATGTTAATTACATTCGCCTCGGTGCATTTGTAGCTGGTATATTACTATTTATCTTTGCTCGAAGTCTAGCCAGAAATACGCTTTCTATGGAATTGGTTGTTCTTTCGGTCTACTTGCGTCTTTGATTATCATTGAATTTGTCCTATACAGATTTGCTCCAAAGGTTTGTCATTCAATAGTTTATTTGTGGATTTAGCACCTGTCTATGCTGAATGTCTTCAGAAATTGATAGGTTTACCAATCCTTGTTGGTGGATGGTCACTAGCGATGTACATGTTGCATCTTACTTGGAAAAATTTCGCATCGCTCGCAGCACAGTATCAAAAATACTCTGTTGCATATGTTGTAAGTACCAATCGAGTTGATAAAATCATGGTGAACGAATCCATTATCAGGCTACGGTCATGTTGATCTCTCTGGCTGTAAAGGGCCCACCAAGGGATGCACAGTCATTGAATCTTGCTTAGTGGGCAATGCAAGCTGTGGCGCTTTTGCTCATCTATGCGTCGTCTGAGGTATTTCAACCATTGCCATCTTTCCAGGTTCATGTTGTAATCTGTTTGCATTTTTAAAGTTTATTCTCAAATCCCACAAATTTTTTTGATCAACTAAATTGTGGTATATATAGTCACAACCCGCGGTCTTATGCAGTAATTTTCTTGGGTCACTTCATTTTTTCCAAACTTTTCTGTACCATCGCCTCAGATTCAGATCCTGACTCATTTAATTTTCTGAATTTAACCGATTTGTGTTCCAGAGTCGTTCTCTAGGTCCAAGAAGTTTCAGTGGGAGTCATCACTCTCCTGGTCTTGCATCAGTTTACAAGATCTTGGCTAGGTTCATTTCTGCGAGGCATTGGTGCAGTTGCTGGGTACTTTTGGTAAGCCATAAATATTTTTTAGCTTGGGATTATCGTACTCTTATGTCCAGGAAGAAGCTGTTTCCACCAAGGCGACGTCTACTGACAAGAGAAGAATATGAAAAAGAGGGAATAGAGACTACAAAGCGAGAATTAGAAAAATTACAACACTACTGTCCCAGTCCTGATGCCGATGTGTGGAAAATCACTAGTGCCAGAAATATTTTTCACTCTTGGTTTGGTTGAGTGACTTACTCTTTCTGCCTAAGATAACTTAGTACTGGTCGGATATCTCTACGAGTTGTAACTTTCGATATTTTGCTTTCGGTTTCTGATTGTGTTGATAATTTCTCATGTATACACTAAGAAAAATCTTTTGAATAAAACAAAAGAATAATATATATCGAAACAGTTAGCCAAGCATAAAACCTGGGGAAAGGGGGAGAAGGGGGGGGGGGGGTCGTGCCCGGGTCCGGCCCAAGGGGGGGGGGGTCGTATCCGGCGGTCGCGTGCCGCACCCCCCCCCCCCCCGCTTTACCCTGCTTATGAAGCTCTTGAGAAAGAATTTTTTCTACGAAAGCGACGTCGAGCTGTGCTCTCCCCCGCCCTCCCCCCCCCCACTGTCGACATAGACCTTCAAATCTCCCCCCCCCCCCCCGGTCGAAGTTCTGGGAGGTGTGTGTCCAGCACTACCACCTTTACTTTTGCCGGCCACTGGTAGCTGGAACCACCTTTACTTTTGGAAGGCCCGGCCCACACTTTTTTGAGTTACGATGCCTGTGCCAGATTCTATCATCCCCGCCGGTGAGCAGCCACAAGGTTTCGTCAGAGGTGCGTTCGGCCAAGGCATGGAACTGGCACAGCTCTTGGTCCTGACGGTACCGCCTCCAACTTGCTGAGAGCAGGCGGACACAAGTTCAACTCCACTGGCAACTCATATGACACGCTATCTGGAGAAGGAAAGAATACCACCGCGACCCAACCACGACGCATTCCACTCTATTTCTTTGCACAAGAAAGGTTGAAGAGAAGGCCTCAAATATTACCTACCGAACAGCTTGCTAAGTGTGCTTTACAAGCTGTTCACGAGGATCAAGGATGTTAGATGAAGCACAATTGACTGAGCAAGTTGGATTCTGTAGAGAATGCGGCTGCGTCGACCACATCCAAAATGTTCAAGAGTAGTGGAGGTTTGTCGCGGATACCAACTGCCCCTACTCCTCACCTTCGTCGTCGAGGCCTTTCGACAGTGTAGAAATCAGAGCCGTTTAACAGTCTTGATCGACCAGGGCGTGAACTCACACATACGTGAGGACCATAGCGGACTGCAGCAAAGACTTTACCACGATACGGCTCTTTGACCGCCGTTACACGTCCGCATCAAGGAAGGAGTCCGACAAGGCAACACGTTGTCGCCAATGCTGCTTACCGCGCTGCTGCAGTGGTTCATGCAGTCGCTCGGAAAGTTGTTTGGGAAGCAGAGGGGGTTTGCATGGATGGAAGGTACCTTTCGAATCTTCGTTTCGCAGACGATATCGACTTGTTCTTGATGTCTATCAGGGAAGCTGAAGAGATGCTGAACGAATTGAATGAAAGCGGGAGAAAGATTGGTCTCAGGACAAGTCGAAAGAAGACGTAATTTATGAGAAACACCTAGCGCAGTGCAGTTCAATTATTCTTCGATGGAGCACGATAGAGGATACTTCATCTTATGTTCGTTTGTTGCGACGCGCCAACAACATAAATAACGACATGAAGTATGAACTCAGCCAAAGACAGAGCAGCTTAAGCAGCATTCGGTCCTCTGAAAAAGACTAAAGAAACCTTGCTTAGTTAATTGCGCCCTCATCTTTTCAAAGCTACAGTTCTCCCGGCTTTTTACACAGCCGAAATGGGCTGATACCTCAGCAACTGTGAAGGCACAAACGAACAGCACACAAAGCATTCGAAAGAAAACTCGAAGATAACCAAGTTAAGACAATATCGACTTGAAATCCGGAGCTACGACCTCAAACAGCTATCACGTCTGGAAGATCCAGCAGAGTACGCATCGAAAATTAAACATAGATGGGCCGGTATTGTGAACTATATTGAGACTATACAGATGGACCAGAAAACATTGGAATGAATTACAAAATCTTTGAAACGTCCACGTGGAAGGCCACAGAAGAGATGGTGCGAAGAATTTATTGACCGTGTAAACTAGCTGCCTCAGCAGTTGGAGTTTGATTCAGGATCATCCAGCAGCAATCACAACCGCTTACCAAGACGTTCATGTATGACATTTGCAAGCAACCGTAATGAATGGTGAAGAGTTGACTCCCGCACAACGTGTGAGGATGGGCCATCATCTAAGTAATCCAAGTAAAGTAAAAGTCTCCTGATGTATAGTAATAACCAACAAAAACGAGTTTGAAAAAAAAAAGTACATGCTTCGTTGAAAGTATAATTATAATTTTTTACCAAACATTCGAGGCATCTCAAGCAAGTCCGCAAATTATTCACGCCAGTTCTTGTTTTATCCTTCAACAAACATAGTCTCTTGAGCGGAGACTCCGTGGGCACTGAAGTGAAGTATAAATGCAATAATGTGAAGAGATTCAGAAGTTTTTGGTTGTGAATACTTTGAGACGAAATGGGAAGAGATTATTAGTCCAACAAAGATTTTGAAAATGAAGCAGGGAGCGTAGATCACCTACTCTACTTCTAAAGATTCAGTTTACCGCGACCTATTTTACTTACATCGAAAGCCATTTATCCCCCTTTCCAAGTTCATGTGATGTTCGCCAGTCTTCTCAAAATGGACTACATAACAATTTGTGATTTGCTTATTCTCATTGAATTCTCATTGAGCAAACAATGCTATGCCAAACAACTTATGCATCTTCACCTTCTAATTTTTTGCACAGTTTCGAATTGAATGGTGCAACGATGAACTTTCGAGTTTCAATGCGAACATGATTGAGTCACTGTACAGATAATGCCCCAGCGCGTTGGAGCCAACAGACAATATTGATTGAACCGATTGAAGAACCATTAATACAGACTACAAACCTTGCCAGCACAGCACTAAAAAACATTAAAAACTGGTGCATCACGTAAAACGCTCCTAATTAAACGCATCATAAATACAGAAAATTACTTTGTACAACTATTCATATAAGTCAGAGTGCATAAAATCAAACAACATTGGCTATAGCATTGGCTACAGAACATAGTTTATTAGGAAGCACTTGTTGCCCACGTCAAGCAAGTATGCAGCAGCTTTTGTGCACAGCATTACTGCTGGTATTCTTTCCGAATTTGTTATGTCCTCAGAGTCCGCAACCAGATTTACCACTTTGAGGCAGCCATTGTTCCACTCTCTTTGGCAGGACAGTGCACCTACTCGGATTCGAGCGCCGGCTTGACTGATGATGAACAAATCGCATCGCTAAAGGTTGTAAACGACCATCGTGAAAAATTAGCCAAAGGCGAACAGCAGAATGGAGTGATAGGTGAAGAATATGAAGATCGTACCCCTGGAGACCCTCTACCAGCAGCGAAGCAGATTGATCCCGTGGTCAGTTTAATTTTGCAGCTACGCTTGTAAAAAAAGCGCAGCTCTCTTTTGACGGAAAGTTTACATACCTTCGTTCCAGCAGTTCATGGTAGTTAAGTTCAAAACAATGCGCAAATAAACAATTTCAACCATTACTGCGTTCCATACGATGGGTCAACTTCCAAAGTTTTCGTATTCTCAAAATAGAAAATTTGCTCTCATTGACTGCTCATGTTTTCAACAAAAGCTTCAAACTTTCCAAACAACGATGATGTCCAGCATGAATCGGGGGAAATGATCAACATTTCCGTTCATTTTCATATGCATTAATCCTAATTATCAGTTCAGGAGTTTAGCGCGATATTGGGGCCATGCAGGCTATACTATAAGTGAATTATTGTGGGTACGAAAAGGTGGCGTCATGCAGTTAGTACAACATGATATTAAAAGTTTGTCGCAAAGAAGGTGTCATATACAGCAAGATGTAGCCATGCAAAAACTTTCGTGTGTAACTGCAGCACATCGAAACTTGAGCTGGTTTTAAAAACAACAGAACTCTATTTTTCATCTTTAACTCGATCATCTGATACATCTACAGATTTTCAGACATGGAGCTGTAATTTAGAGGAAGAAGCAAGAGACGCAGTGAGTACATGTCCATACCCTAACGGCCCTGAAATAACTGGAAAGTTCGGATTTTTAAGCTCGTATGTTTTCAATAATACTACTCTTACATGCAGGAAAAAGTTGCTGCACTTTTGCGTCCCTCTTAAACCACAATCATCTAGCAACGGCGCTTTTTGCATGAGAATACATTTTTCTTTGGCTTGACCATGACATTCCTATATTTTGTGCTGCATACCCCGTGAGCTTTATTCGACACTTTTAGACCCAAGTTTGCTGCAAAACTAACATTCGACAGCTGCTTGAAAAACCGTGGTAGCCCGCTGAATGCTTACGTCAGATAGAGACAATGACAAATGCCACTCTGCGTAGTAGGTGATACGGTCAATGATAGGCGCCGTGTTGATCAACTTGTTTCCACATTTAATAATGTACTTGTGCTTGCAAGCTGCAAGAGGTTCTAAACTAAATAGTACGACATTGATCTATTCAGCAATTATGAAAGTGGACCCGAGTACCAGTTAGATGGCATACTAAAAGGACGGCTTGACACTATTAACTATGTCGCGATCAGCACTTCCGCTATTGGAGAATTAGAAGTTAAATTCGACGGCAATAAAAGATTAGAAACTTACGCAAATGTGAGTACATGAGCATTCCTAGAAATTTTTGCAAAAAAATGAAATTAAAAATTGAATGTAAAAGAGTGTTCCAGTTTATGCGCGAAGATGTAAACGAGATTGGATGTGCTGAGGCGGTATGCAATCTTGTCGGTCATACAAAAAACCGCACCGTGATTTACTGTTTCACCAACCAAGAGTGAGTCCACTTTCGTTGTACATCAGCTACATATGATCTGGACTCATGATGCGTTGAAGAGATTATTCATCAAAAAGAGGGCGGGGTTAAATCGAAACACCTGTTAATTTCAAAATGGCACAAAACGATGGAAAAATTGCTGCTACCGCACTTCATTTAAAGAAAAAACATCTTTTATCGAATATGGATGATTGCTTTGCTCTGACAAAAATGTTAGCTTTTATATGTGCGCAACCCAAGCAGCATGCTGAAATTACTCGCAATAGGCTAGCTTTTTCAAGAATTCCTAGAATGGGAGCTATGCGCTTTGTATAAGCATGTCTATCATTTTGCTGAGAGTACCGTGTTTTTGTGAAGGAAGTCGTTTTAGGCTCAAAATAAGCATATGGTTCATTTCAACTCAGAGTAGGGCACTTGAGATAACGGCGTAGCGTTGTTCGCGTCGCACCGCGACGGCAGCATGATCGCATCACAACAAGAGCTATTTACTTCTCATCATTTCGTTCATTTGAAGCCACAGCTTTCCCAAGATTGAGGCTGGTGATGTTTTGATGCTATGTAGTAGTGGAGATCCCAAACTAACGAGGGAGGCTTGCGGAGTCGAAGTGGCCAATCAGCACGAGAGGCATACCGTTCCCGAAAATTGGAAAGCTGATTCCGAATCTGCCTTCACTAGCTGCAGGACGTTTCTGGGAAGACGTTTCTGGGAAGAAAGTTATAAGCGTTTTTCTGACACGGTAAGCGCTTGGCTTGCACCTCGTCATATCATGTAGGCATGGCGCAGTGGCAAGTGTGGTAGTGTGTATGCACCTTGTTGAAAATTGAGTAATGGGGCCTTAGAAATGATTTTCTCAATTTAAGCGATAATTATTGGAGCAAACGGCATAAAATTCATTCCATATATCCAAAAATGACACTTCCAAATCAAAGTTTTCTTTTGATGCATACATTAAGAAAAAAGACCTTTTAATCGAGTTGCGAACTGAAGCATGCGACATCAATCTTAAGTCACGTAGCATACGTAATGTTACGTATATTCAAATTTTGGCGAAACAAAAATCTTATATATAAAATTTTTCTGACACCTGGCAGGAGGTTGACTCTCCATCCTATGAAGTTCTCACCAAATCTGGTACAAGGAAAGAAGCAATATCCTTCCTGAAAAAAATGGCTCCGGAAAATGCAAAGGTTCGTTTTTTGTAGCGGGACTTGAGTGATTACTTATTTAAGGGGCCGCTACTATGCAGCATCAAAATCTCACCAACCTAGATTTTGAGTGGACGGTGCCTTTCATGGGCAAATAGCGCTGTGCAGTTGCAAAACACACGCTGTCCTCAAATGATATGCTTCCGCCTACCAGAGTCGAAATAGAGGGCCATCATACGGAATTTGCAGCACAGCATATAAATAAATACGGAAACATTAACGGATATTTTTGGATATCGGGAAAAGCTTCAAAATTTAGTAAGTTGGCGATTGATGGTACTATTTACCACTTACGTGACAAGACAACAACTACTACTACTGCTACCACGACAACTACGACGACGACGACGACTGCAGCACCAACGACAACTGCAACGACGACTGCAGCACCAACGACAACTACAACAACAACGGAGGCGACTACAACCATGTCAGCAGCAACGACAACCACAGAGTCAGCCACTACGAGCACCGGGTCGGCAACGAAAACAACCGGAACCACCTCTTGTATTCCAAGACGGAAAACCACCCGTACGCCACCTGCACCGCAGTTGCCGGCTGAGTTTCCTTCAGCCTCTGCAGGTAAAGTCTATTCACATCAAGAAGCAATTCATTTTCGTCGCATCTTCAAAATTAATGGTAGATTACTTAGTAGAAGATCTCTTTCTGACTGAATGCCTGACGTTTTTCAAGCGGCCATACCTTGGATTGATGCATAGAGCATCTGATTCACATCCGGTGATTACCTGCACATTTAATTTCAAATTCTTAGAGCAATGAGGACAGGTATAGGTAATGATCGCAGTATTAGTTTTTCCAGTAGTGACATCCAAATCACATTCGTGTCGTTATAAGTTTCATCAATCTACACGCAGAAAATAAAAATAGAAGAAGGTCAATTGTCGGAACAGCAATTATTTTGCTCAAAAAAGAGTGAACAAAGAGTTTATACTGCAATTGAAGCATTTGTCTTCACCATAAGTAATTATCCTCAATCGCCATTAGTTCAAAATCTCAAGATTTTTTGGTTAAATGGACATACATTAGTCAACCATCAATTGATTTCAGACATGTAGGTCTTCCACGTGCTATGCATACGGCTGTTTCAAAAGCGATTTTGGAAGTGATGAAAAAAAAGGAGTTACATCTAATACGGGGTGATTAAGATTATGTACGCTTTGTTTGATAGCTGATAACCCTCTCCACAACGTGTTTGGCGCTTTGAGCACTTTCTGTACAGCTTCACTTAAGTCTCTACCATAAACGGGACGTTGATAATCTTTTCAATTGGAACGGTAGGAACTTACAAGCGATTTCTACCATAATCAAAGTCTTTGGTTCAGAAAGATATCAGAAACTATAAAAATCCCACGCTCCCTTGATTACAATTCAAAGATATGTGCACAGTCGTTGACAAAAGCAGCGTAAATGATCCGTTTACACAAGTTTATACTGAACTTTTTGAAATGGCGGTCAGCTTACAATTTCGTTAAGTGGCGCAAGCTTCCATTGTAAATGTGAATTAAAGAAAAACCATTGATCATGTTTCGTACAATAAATTGAGTTGCACCTATTTCAACTGCTATAAAGGTATAGTCACACGTGTGGCTGGAATTATTAGGTTTTCTCATAAGTTTTTTTATTTTTGACTTCTTTCCGCATTAAGTCGCACAGTTCTTTACTCTTTCAAAATGCAGAGTGCCGTTTCGAGAGAGCAAAGCAAGCTCTATAAGATGGCCTGCGAGTGTTCGCACCAGCTCCAGCATATTACAAGTTAGAAAATCTGAGAACTTTTAAATGCTCAAAAAGAACTGAAAATCCTTTATAACTCTGTCCACTGATAACTTACCGGATCCCAAACTCGCTCACGCATATACACTCCACATAAGACATTCATATATGCCGTCGCTGTCCCTATCAAAGAAGCTAAGTTCGATCTTTCTAAACAACTAGCGCTTCCAGGAAGCTGAAAATTTACCGATGTATTACTGAAAGCCTGTAGTATACACCTGTCTGTGTGAAAACAGCATCGCTTTTTTGGAAGCTTGAAAGTGTTGGTTTTCTCGATTTCTAGCACAGAAACGAACACAGCGACGGCACATATGAATGTCTCATGTGGAGTGTATTACGTGAGCGAGTTTGGGATCCGGTGAATTTTCCTTGGACGAAGTTATCGAAGATTTTCAATTTTTCTGGGCATCCAAAAGTTCTCAGATTTCCTTCCAACTCGTCATGTGCCGAAGCTGGTGCGAACACTCGCAGGCCATCTTATAGGTGCTTGTTTTGCTCTAACGAATGGTACCCTGCATTCTAATCAGAGTTGGGAACGGCGTGACTTATTGTTGTAAAAATCAAAATCGAAAAAGCTTATGAGATAACCTAATATTAGGTTGTCCGGAAATTAATGCAGGTTTTGAATTCCAACCGCAATAAGTCATACACTTCTCATTTCTAAATAGGTTGCAAAGTACCATTCGATAGAGCAAAGCAAGCTCTACAAGATGGCCATGTTGCTTTAGCAACAGATCTCATCCACCCCAAGTTTTGAGCCAACAACTAAAAAGATTCAACTACCCGAAAAACTAAGGAAAATCATAACTCTGTTCATAAAAATCCTACAAAAATTCTAACTTGCTCACGTAAACATAATACACATAAGGCATCTATATACGCGGTTGCCGTATTTTTTTCTGCGTTAGAAATCAAGAAAACAAAAATTTTCGTGCATTTGCCAAAGTGGTGCTGTGCCGTCCCCACATAAATAGTTGTATACTACAAACCCTTAGAAGTACAAACGTGAATTTCCAGCTCTCTACAAGTTTTGGTTCTCGAGAAATTTGAATTTTAGCTTGGACCACATGACTAAGGAAAACTGTACTCGAAATTTCTCGAGAACTAAAGCTTGTAGAGGGCTGGAAATTTACGTTTGTACTTCTAAAGGTTTGTAGTATACAATACTTATGTGGGAACGGCACAGCACCACTTTGGCAAATGCACGAAAATTTCCGTTTTCTTGATTTCTAACACAGAAAAAAAAATACGGCAACCGCGTATATAGATGCCTTATGTGGATTATGTTTACGTGAGCAAGTTAGAATTTTTGTAGGATTTTTATGAACAGAGTTACGATTTTTCCGAATTTTTCGGGTAGCTGAATCTTTTCAGTTTTTGGCTCGAAACTCGTGGTGGATCAGATCTGTTGCTAGAGCAACATGGCCATCTTGTAGAGCTTGCTTTGCTCTATCGAATGGTACTTTGCAACCTATTTAAAAATGAGAAGTGTATGACTTATTGCGGTTGGAATTCAAAACCTGCATTAATTTCCGGACAACCTAATATTAACGACTAGAGTTTGCAAAATTTGGCAGACCTTGTACCTTTTATCTCGCGTTTGTTTTATGAAACCTTGGTGTTTACCACATTGTTGTCACTTCGATCTGATATTGCTCTAGGACCAAACGACAGATGTCCAAAAAATACTGGAATGGACGATACTCTCAGAACCAAATTCTTAGATATGCACAATTATCGTAGGTCAGAAAAGGCGCTGTTTTTTCCTATCTCAATCGTTTTTGACTCTTATATGTCATTATTTTCAGAGCGGAACTTGCGAAAGGAAACGTTGCTAAACGGAACGGGAATTATTTACCTCAATCATCTGACATGCAAAGAATGGTTGCATACACTTGAAGAAGATGTAAAAAACACATACTTATTTTCTCTTAGAGATACAACTGTGCGCTGGAGAAGGAAGTGATTGACTATGTAAGTACCTGCCCTTTATCCAAATCAGCTGAATTCACGCGACCTGATGTGGGAGAAAATTTCATCCGCGTGCCTCAGGAGGGAATGGCGACGTACTTGCTTGCCGTTGAAAAGGTGAACTTTCAGAAGCGAAATCAATTTCCATTCAACCGATGGTTTAGGCGGTAACTTTGTGGTGGAAGGTGATACGCATTGAAGAGGGTCCTGGTTTGCAAGTTTATTTCCGACAGAAGCATGTCGGCACTCCGATCGAGTCTTTTACACAGGTAGACGATACTGCTTTCCGTGGAAGCTTACAAATTCTTTTGCATTCATAAAATACAAGACAACCAGAAAACATGATTTGGTGATGTTTAAGATGGGGTGGTCCACGTCTCGCAAGCTTGGTTGTGCCATCGCAAAATGCGGTAGCGATTATGTCGCGGTCTGCCGATATTCTCCTAGGTAAGTTCGTAAAAGTACTCGATACTTCTTCACGTTGTACCTAAGTACATTTCTGTTTTAGAGGTAATTATGTGGAGCAGGTTATCTACAGAAAAGGAACTCCCTGCACAGCTTGTGCAGCTGGCTCCTGGTGTACGGAAGATGCACTGTGCACTCTCGAATGAAAGGTGTTTGCAATTCTGTGCAGGCCTTTTCTTGCTTGTGCATTCCACACAACATCCACTTTTCTTTTATTTATTCATACAATAAACCTGCGCTTAGAATCTTCTTTCCTCCACATTATAGAAGTTGTCGGCGATCTTCATCCGGCCTCAAAGGCAGTGTAGAGACAAATATCGGAGCACACGAGTTTTTCGCTTGAGATTTGATGAGAGGGGATCCTAATTAAGGCACTGCCCATCAGTTGAGGGTACCTGTCTTGCCTTTGTCTTCGATACATGCAAAAGTATAGGGCATTTGAAAGACTTGACGATGGCGCGACCGCGCGCGACATGAGCGCGTTTCCGGCAAAAGCATCTTCTTGGTTTTCATCGCTACTTTAATTGTTTTTCTGCTTACGCATACTAATATATAGGCACTGGAAGAGAGAGCAGATCGTTGAGGTGATGTCTCTTTGTATGAGTGTTTTATGCTCCGATAAGCGCAAAGTCCGCGGTCAATCCATTCACAGATAAGTCTGAATTTGGTCAGAGAAAGAAAAATGCACAAAAAAAGAAGAGCAGGTGAAAAATCTTTCGGGGTACATTCTGATCGTAGTTTCAACATGCGATGGCATATTGTGGTGCGCAGTTATTTACAAAATTGTGAAATTTTGCAAAATCGTGGCCCAGGGGGTTATTCGGTGTTATGATCACGAATATGGTGTTCATTTTTCACCTTGGAGACATATAGCCGGGTTGCGGGGGTTTACGATAGACAGGAGAAGGTCAAAAAATTGGCCGGACCTGCGCTGATCACGAATATTCGCAATATCTGCAGTGACATCTGGCAAGGTTACGGCAGGTTTACGATAGGTATATAAAAGGGGGCGTTATCAGCCGAAACTCGGGACACTGGGATTATTCGGGGCGCAGATCATGGACAGTCTACCTGCTACGTACGCTGTTGTCATCTGGAGCGATCACGGTAGGTATTCGGTAAGTGGGATGAAGTCACAAACATGGCTAAAGTTCGACCCGGTGAGGTTTTGGCGCGCCAATCACAAGTTAGCAAAACCCTTCATGCGGCGTTGCCATTTGGCGAAGTACGGTAGACTTACAGTAAGTGGGCCATAGAATAACGGCAAACTTAGCTCGGATGGTTTATTCTGTACGCAAATCCTAATAGCTCAGAAATCAAAGGTTCTCAGCGGGCAGCCACAAAGCCACCGCCAAACCCACTTAACTAAATAAAATAATTGATACTACATAAAATAAAGATAGATAAAAATTTAGATATAAAAACAAACTGGGTATTAACAATAAATCACAATTTAATCATCATAAAAAATACTGAAAATATACTGACATATCCAGGATCGACTATCAATTAATCTCGGCATCGTATAAGTGTATATATCCTTCACTGATTTGTTCAGCTTGCACAAGATTGGTATATCTCTTTATTTGACCGACGTTTCGGCAATATCGCCTTCTTCGGGTGTATGTCAAGAGGCGCGATTTTTATTGCCAGATGGATACCAAATAGCACATAATAAGTGTTTTGTAACTTTTCTAAATTTATTCAGATTTTAGAAGAAGATATATCAGATAGTTGCATGGGTTGTTCAATTTTGATACCTTGAAAACATTCAAAACACTAATTTTGAAGATCAAAAACCCATGAAAATGTAGTTGAGAACAAATTCGTAAATATTTCGGTCCATTTCCCAGCAAAAGCCACCAAACTCAGCAAATGGTAACCTCAGACAGAGTAAGCTAATGCACTTTACCTGGTGCTTTTCGAAGACTCGCATAGCATAAAACAGGGGTTTTAAGTTGGTGACAGCCAGAGAAATCGCGCCTCTTGACCGTCTCCCGCCTTCTTCGGGGTCTGAAAAAGTCGTGACCATGTAAACTGTCCAGTCAGCAACTTCGTCACGATCAAGCAAATTGTCCAACCTGTTAGCGAATCAAAAGAGTACAAATGACAAGATCGGGTCATTGATCTGTCAACAATTCAATGCTGATACATTATCCCAACGACTGACCACCATTCTTCCAGATCTAGCAACTTCGTCTCGGCCTGCTGTTAGCGGAGAAGCCACAGAGGCTCTGGTAAGGAGCCAGCTCTTGTGTAATGGCCAGGCACTCATCTTTTCTATTCATCTTCGGACTTTCCGTCGCTATCCAAAACGCTTCTAAAGTTTTGCGCGTTAGGATTTCGGGCTTATGAGCTAAGATTGTGACCTCCGCGCTTAAATTTGCGTCCTCCCCGTGGCCTGTCTGCGGTGCATGCCCAATTGCGTGGTGGGATTTGATCTTCTAAGCCCATCTAAGTGTTCTTTTATGCGTGTGCACAATGGGCGTCCGGTTTCACCTATATACGATTCTTTGCATGATTGGCATGTGATACGGTACACTACACCAGAAACCATACAATCACCTTGTTTGCCAAACGGGCAGATCCTACAGCTGGGTGTCGTACATATTCTGTCATACGCGCGATTGCGAACAAGTTGATGCTTGAGATTAGCAGGCGGTATGTCGACGACTCTTATCCCCTATTTCCAGATCAAAACTATTGACTTAACTCCAATTTTTCAAAGTAGTTCTAATTATTCTTATACTTTACTAAAACTCAGAAAAAACTTTTTTGCAAACGGTAACTATACCCAAAAGTCAAAAAATTGAAATGAATGAGATTAATTACAAAATTATTACATAATTATTCATAAAAATAGTTCCAAAATCAAACCTTTCTTTATTATCCCTAGAAAACATTAAACCACACAAACAAAGTAATGTAATCAATACTAGTAACTGTATAAAATTAGGTAAATTTCGATTATTACCGTAACCACGCCCATCTTGTTGACCATAATTACTATGAATAATGTACCCCATTTGCATAAATGAACAACTTTTGAACAAAGCTTGTCTAACAAAGGCCCGTATGCACGTACATCCCCATTGGGGAGGGGGGGAGGGGATCTGAGAGAAATTGCGTTATATTTCGCTACTCTAGGTACCTTTCTTCTTCCTTCTCTATTTTGCTTACGAAGGTTCTCATGCCCTAATACCTGCGCATAATTGATGCCAGGTTAATGACATAATTGGTTAGAATTTTACTATTTTGTGTGATCCCCAGGGGATCACTTTTCAATTTCAATGCCATTTATCTTCCTGAAAACTCAATGAAAGCGATGTAAAATTGTACTGTGGATCCACTACGGCACTGCTAAAGATGTTTATAATAGAAAAAAGTGAAATTTGAGGATATCGAAATCTTTAATAATCCGTAGCTTGCGAACTAGGGATCATCTAAAAAATAACAATCTTCAACAAAAAAAAATCAAAAAAATAACAATAACATTTATTCTGTCGAAAACATGTTTAGCAGCGCCGTAGTTTATCCTGGGTACAATTTTGCGGTTTTCATTGACCTCTCAGAAAGAAAAATCACTTCAAAAATAAGAGGTAATCTCCTGGGGATCACACAAAAGGGCAGAAAATCAACCTTATATGGAGCTAACCTGGCATCCACTATCAGGTATAAAAGGATGAGAACCTTCACATGCAGGAAGGAGAAAGAAGAAGAATGATATCTAGAATAGCGAGATATGACGCATCCCTTCTCAGATCCCCTCCCCAGCGAAGATGTACGTTACTACCAATTTATTTACATTATATATAGATGATATGCACACTCACGCAGGGCAGATTGTATTGGAGCCAGCAAACTTGAGCGCGAGGAGTACTTAAGGCGGATGGAAACTTGAGCATGAACATAGCGATACAAGCGATACTTGCATTTCTTAGCTCTACTTTTATATGGACAGAAATCAGATAACGGCGCATTCTACACCGTTCCCACAACACTGTTAAAAGGTTAAACGCGATTGAATGCCTTGATCACTTGGTTACATTAAGCTATGCTGCGCGCTTATGGCAAAGGCAATTGTACATCAGATAACATGAACGGTTTCAAATCAAGCAAAGGATACTGTAGTACAATTACACGAGCAAAACTTGAATGATTACATCACAGTACACAATTGATATCACTGTGGTCGATGACGACTCTCCCCGCGTTACCAGTGACTCACCGGCGTTTTGCTTTTAGCTGCTGCTTCGCATCAAGCATTCTTGTCTCGCGAGTGGTTTGAGGTACATTGCAAAGCACTCGGTGATGTCCACATTCGCTAAGTCTTCAAAGATGGTGCCCCAAATTTTTGCGCAGCACCGGCTTTGCCTCTTGGAATAAGGACACTCTCGTCCGTCGGGCAATTTTCGAGGCAGAATCTGCACCATTCTTTCTTGCGAACAATCTCCAATCTAAAATCTCCGTTGGCGACGGATGTACAAGAGCCCGAAAAATGCTCGCCAATTTTGTCGCGGAATGCGTGGCCTGCGATTTCACCGTTCGCATGTCCTATTTTTCGGAAGGAAAAACTTGTAACACTCTTTCCATTTCGTCAATTTCTCGCTCCTTCCTTGTTTCCCAGGCGCGAGAGTTTTCGGGTTGCTTGACGCGAGGGTTTTTCGAGTTCGCTTCGTGTTCGATTGAAAAGGAGGGACTTTGCGACACTAGCTTTGTGGTTTCCTCCTCTTTGAATCGCTTTGTTCTTTTTCTATTCTCTCCTAGTTGTTTTTTGATTTTTCGTTTTTGTCTCGTAACCGTCCAAGGATCCTCTGGTTTCTTTCGATTATTTCCTCAAGGTGAGCTGTCACTTTCTGGTGTTGTACTTTCATCTTTTGAGTCATCTCCTCCGATCGCATTTTTTCGCTGTCAACTCTTGTCTCAGCTCGGCTAGTTCTTTTTTCTTCTTCTCGTTCTTGTCGAGCAGCATGCCGAGGTTGTTGATGAGTGCCCCCTGCCTTCCTTGTCTTTCTGTTTAGATCGTCTTGCAGAGTAGACATTTTATCTTTAGTTTTTCATACTAAGCCTGCTCTTAATTCGTCATCTCCCTTGATTTTTTCCTTCAAAAGTGCGATTTCTTTCTGGTCGTCTTCGTTTTTTTGAG